ATGTAAGTTCAGTGAGGGCAGGAATTTGTTCATTCATTGCTGTATCCCGCTTACCTAGCACAAAACTCAATGTTTGTCAAATAAATGACTGACTGAATGAATGAATGAATGACGGTAACCTAGGGAGAAAGTAGGTCATAGTCTTAGGAAAAAAATAAAACATTTCTTTAAAGATATGCTGCCAATCTAAAATATAGTTCACAAATATTAGTGTAAAGTATCCAGCTGTTCTCTTTTCAGGTGGTACAGCCGCTTTGAAGTCAAATGTTAATATGCAATAAATATGATCCATAAAATCTGTGTTTTTCTTCTAAATTAAATGCAAAGATTAATAGATGAGATGGTTTTGAAACCCAGTTTAGGAACTGTTTAAGCATTTTAAAACCCGTATGCCACTATTAGAATGACAACTTGAGAAAATTAATGTGTATTGTTGATCTTTATTTTTCCTAAAATTATGCTGGGCCCTGGCTGTTAGGAATTTTCTGCTGGCTGTCTGGCCTCCAGCTGGGACTTAACTTCCTAATTTTATTAAGGCTCAATACAAGGACACACATGTGTATACTCTGGTTTCCTGTTAGTAGTTAATTAACAAGTTCATTATATGTTTGTTCCTGTCTCAGCATTATCAAGACAAATAGGGAAAGATCATGATGTTATGGTAAAATTCTATATGATTGTTTCTCTGAACTCTTTTGATTGAAAACTGTTTATTTTATAATACATTTAGATGTTAAAGGGGATAAGTGGGAGAGTTGTAACTTGTATTCTCAGAAAAATTTGGCAGAACAGACTCATCTGGAGAATAGCCTAGTCTGTTTTAATGAATTTATGGAAAAAAAGGCTTTTACCACATTTCATCAATTATTTTCAAAGGATTCAAATAAACTAAGGAGTATTTAATACTAAATAGCAGTGTGATATAGTGGAAACTGATTCTTATATAGGCTGTTACTAACTAAATGGCCTTGATTAGGTCATCGCTGCATTCAGGGCTTTGGTTTACTTGGCTGTAAAAAGAGGGTGTCAGACTAGGATTTTTAAATTTGTTTCAGCATTTAAGCAGTATCTGTGAGCATGATGCTTTCTTACCTTTGAAAGTAGGAATATCAGTTTTCATGATATGATTAATAAAAATTTTATCTTGATAATTGTTGAATCTAGATAATGGGTACATGCAGTTTCATTATACTATTTCTACTTTTATATATCTTTGAATATTCTTAAACAATAGCAAACTTAGAAATATAATTGATGAATAAAATGCTTGATAGCAGATAATATGTTCAAACTGATCTTGTGAAGTCTATTTCATGTCTATGCTGTTTTCTTCCAGTGTCGTCTGAAACATTTATATAAAATAGCAGTTCCTCTTATGATCATTCCGGGGCAATTTTCTTCAGTTTTTAGGGAACTGTGCCAAGGTTCACGACCAGATTAAAAATATCCCCATGTACAGATTTTCAAGGTGAAAGTATTCCTTGATCAGAAAACTAACAAAAGTTTCTTACAAGCATCATATAATTTATATTGATTTGGCAACTCACAACATGAACTTTAGATTGGCTTAATTATCTGTACCTCATTCTTAAACCCAGGCTAATTTTTCCCCTCACCACCCTACACATTGCCAGGTCATTTCTGGAAGATAATATGGCAGACTACATTGCAGCTGAGCAATCCTGGGTTTAAATCCCTATTTCAACCATTTCCTAAATGTGAGACCTTGGGAAAGCTTTTAAACTTCTCTGAGCCTTAGTTATCTTTTCTATAAAATGGGAATGTCAATAGTAGTATCTACATCATGGAGTTATTGTGAGGACTAAAGAACATGGGTAATCATTAAACACACTGCCTGACAAGCAGTTTAAACCAACATCATCAGCCTATTCTGTCATTATTATTTTTGTCACTTAGTTGTTTGCATTATTAGAATAAAGCTATGTGTGGAGAAATTTTTTTTAAAAGGGAGAAAATATGGCTGTTTTGGTTACCTTCACTAGAAGCATTCAATCCATATTTATTGAACATCTGCTATACTCTAGGAACTGGATTTATAGAGGCAAGTAAGGCACACTTCCTGCTCTTAAGGAAATCACATACTAAGGGGAAAAACTGACATGTGAAAGCTTAGAGTCAGGGCTGAACTTAAAAGAGTGACAGAGTAGGCAATTGTTGGCATGCTGAGATTTAAAGGGAGCTAAAAACAAAATATAACCAAAGCCAGAAACCTCTGGCCTATCACTACATCTGAATTACCATTAGCATATTTTTCTTTGGAGTTTATACATTCTTTGACTTTTGGATTCCATGTGCAAATGCCTTTGGGAAGAGTAACACATTAAGTAATATCAATTGCATCTTTAAAAATATTGAAGTATAGTTGATTTACAGTATTGTGTTAGTTTCAGGTGTACCACATAGTGATTCCTTTTTAATTTTTTTTTTTGCAAATTATATCTCATTATAGGTTATTACAAGATAATGGCTATAATTCCCTGTGCTATACAGTAAATCCTTGTTGCTTATCTATTTTATGTATAGTAGTTTGTATCTGTTAATCCCATACCCCGAATTTGTCCCTCCCTCCCTCCCTCTCCCCTTTGGTAACCATAAATTTATTTTCTACGTCTGTGAGTCTGTTTCTGTTTTGTACATGGATTCATTTGCATTATTTTCTAGATTCCACGTATAGTGATTTCATATAATATTTGTCTTTTCTCTGACTTATTTCACTAAGCATAATATTCTCTAGGTCCATCCATGTTTCTGCAAATGGCAATATTTCATTCTTTTTTATGGCTGAGTAATATTCTATATATACCACACCTTCTTAAGCTAAGCATTTGTTGATGGGCACTTGGCTTGCTTCCATGTCTTGGCTATTGTAACTAGTGCTGCTATGAGCTCAATTGCACTTTTTTTTTTTTTTTTGCGGTACGCGGGCCTCTCACTGCTGTGGCCTCTCCCGTCGTGGAGCACAGGCTTCGGATGCACAGGCTCAGCGGCCATGGCTCACGGGCCCAGCCGCTCCGCAGCATGTGGGATCTTCCCGGACCGGAGCACAAACCTGCGTCCCCTGCATCGGCAGGCGGACTCTTAACCACTGCGCCACCAGGGAAGCCCTCAATTGCACTTTTATGAAGATTTATTTCTATGTTATTTAGAGTACAGAGAAAATTGCTATAATCAAGACACCTCAAAATATTATGGCTCAAGCAACAGACCAAAGGTGGGCAGGCAGCACTGCTGCAGGAGGTCATCCAAGGCCCAGGGTCCTTCTGCCTGTTGCTTTGCTATCTCCTAGTATGGTGACTTTGTCTATGTGGTCAAAGTTTGGCTCCCATTATCATGTCTGTGCTATAGCCTACTGGTTGAGTGAGGAGAGAGACAGAAGAGGACAAGAGTTTTTTTTTTTTTGTCAAAACATGATCCAAAGGTTGCACACATTGCTGCTGCTTGCATATCGTTGTCTAAATTTCTATCATATCTTCATACCTAACTGCAAAGGAGTCTGGAAAATATAGTCTCTGGCTGGGAGGCCATGTACACAGCTAAAGGTTCTGTTACTAACAGGAAGAATAGGAGAATGGATACTGGGAAACAATTAGGGTCTCTGCCACAGTTTATCAGACAACTTTATCTTGATAAGCTTCCTGAAAGACCTAGGCCTTTCCTAATAGGGGGGTTGTATGAGTCATAAAGAAATGGTTAAAAAGACAGTTGACTCTTCTGTGGTGTTTTCTGACATCAACCAATTATTCAGTCTCAGATTTTCTAATACCAACTGGGTATCCTACCATTCAATTCAATTCTGACACTATCTGTAGTTAGCAAAGACCCCACAGGTTAAGAGGTCAGTCCATCAAGTCTGTCCCCACTTCAGATGCCAGTCGAAAGTCCCAGCACTTCTGACCAACTAGCTATAAATTTAGGAAGTCCTAACGACTCATTTCAGGTTTGACAGTTCACTAGAATGACTCAAGGAACTTGGGGAAACACTTTACTTGCTATTAATGGTTTATTATAAGAGCAGCCAAATGGGAGAAATGTATAGGGCAAGGTATTGGTGGGGATGAGGGTACCACAGCTCATGGAGTTTTTATTCTCTCTCCAGGCATGTCAACTTCCTAGTACCTTAATGTGCTCACCAACCTGGAAGCTCTCCACACCCAGTTGTTTAGGGGTTTTTATGGAAGTCTCATTAGTAAGGCATAATTGATTAAATCTTTAGTGATTGAAACTCAACTTTCAGCCCCTCTCACCTTCCAGGAGCTCAGGGGGTGGGGTTGATAGTTCCAACCTCTAATCTCAAGGTTGGTTTCTCTGGCAACCAGCCCTCATCCTGAGCTAGGCGGAGGCTCACCAATCATCACCTCATTAGCATAAACTCAAGTTTGCTGAAAGGAGCCCATTACGAATAACAAAAGACACTCCATTAACTCAGGAAATTCCAAGGGTTTTAGGAGCTTTGTGCCAGGAACTGGGGACAAAGGACCAAATATATCAGTAGCAGCAGTTCCCCCCACCCAAGCCATCTCTTCCTGAAGATGCTCACCTTTTTTACCACAATGCACATAGAATGAGTTGTTCTTTCCTCTGAGCTCCCTTAGCTGCCAATGATTCTATCATAGTATACTGTTCTTATCACACAGTACTATAATTATCAATAGTTTCTAGTTTCTATCCCTCTAACTAGAATGTGAGCTACATGAGATACTATCTAGCTCACATTTGTACCCCCAGCATCTAGCAAGGTGCTTGACACATCATTGCTCTGTGAACCGTTAAATGAATGTGAGAGGATAGAAAGCAGAGACTGGCACTGCTGACTTTTGGCAGTCTGTGTGTCTGTGTTTAAATGTGTTTAGTGTTAATCTGGGGACTAGATCATGATGTTGCTGACTGTATTTCCCAGCTCATTTGGATTTCCTGAGAATCTCAGCTCTGGTATCCTGCTGTTGAATCTGTGGTAGTCTGTAGGGGAACTCAGAGTTCATAAATTAGCTGGTTTCAGAGTATTAAAAACTAGATTTGGGGGAACACAGGCAGTCTAGATGCGCTTTGTCTTACAGACCATGTTCTTTATAGGACACTGCTTTTCTGTATACATGTCAACTATACCAAATAACTTTTCAAGTCAGTTTTCCGGGGTGTTATTATTTTAAAAAAATCCCCACAGAACCTAAGAAGTTTAACATTTGCCTGAAAGTTTAAAAACTGTTCTCAGATTCAGAGAATTTTTTTTAAGAATGGGGTGTCTGTGTGTGTGTGTGTGTGCGCATATATAAACTAGAATGGTTATTTTATTTACTTTTTAAATCTTTATTTTTCAAATCTTTAATTTTCTTGTTCATGCTAATTTGATGTCTTTTTAGCATTACAAAGGAAATAACACTTTGGGGCATTAAATAATGCCTTTGTTGATTGCCTCACTTGAACAGCAGTTCAGGAATACCCATTTCTTGTTTTGATGGTCCACAGAGTGGGAGTTACTGAGCTTTACACGATGAAAGAGATATTGTGATCCCTGCCAGTAAGCTATTTTAGCGGCTGAGGTATCAGGAAGAATCCCAGCAGTAGCTCTGTAGGAAGAGCACTGGACTATGTGTCAGGTCTACCTAGGTTTTATTTCTCTTGAATTTTTGACTTCTGGAAGTTATTTAACCTACTGAAACTTATATATGTTCCTGCTAAAGAGCTCAGAGATAGTACTTGTCTACTCTACGCCCATCTAGCTTCACTTCATGGTGTCAGCCTAAGAAGTCTCAGTTCTGATATACCCCTGGCCCAATGAGAACCATTTTCTTTTAGCAGGTAGAAGTCTGGAAATAACCTAGTGTATGCTATGCCTCTGGAATTGATTTGGGCCCCTGGGAAACTTTGTAAGCATCAGGCTTTAGCATTTATCTCTTACCCCACCATCTGCTACTGGCTGTTTAATTGGACTTTGGTTCCAATCTGGAAGCTCAATTCTTTTTCTGTGTCTCTGTTGAAATTGGGATCCAGACCTGAATCTTTTGCCTAATTTCTGCTGGCCCCTTTCCAGGGACTGACAGTTGACTGCTTACAGAATCATTTGTATCATCTTGCCTTATTCTCTCAGAAGAATGACTTGACCCCAATTGTCCTTAGGAACTTCCCCACTCTGAGGCTTTGATGTACCTCTTCATTTCATGTCCCTTGGGTGAAATGAAGGAACATGACCCTGGCCTGCATCAAACGTGGGTTTATACACTTTTTTTGGTGTAGACCAGCTTCCAGCTATGGGGGAACCATTCCAACTAGTCTTATCCCACCTCCTTTCTCTACACCAATCAGGCTTACTCCCAAATTCTCTCTTAGGAGTTGCAACATGCCTTGTATCTGTGTCAGAGTAATGAGTGCTAAGGTATAAGCATACAGGTTTCACTGGCAACTTCTAATGATGTCACTAGAAAGCCATCAAATAGGACTTTTAGTATATTAAAATGAGTTGTCTTTTTAGTTTCTTTCTCTTCACACCAAGGAGCAAAGCTAAGCCTATGCTTTCACTGATTAAGCTATCAAATCAATGTAGAAGTTCAAATCTAATCAACTTTAACATCTGAGGCATGGTGCATTATTGTTTCCAACAGCATTTTATTAACTTTACAGTCAGCCCCCCATATCTGTGTGTTCTGCATCCACAGATAAGGAGGACCAACTATACTACACCATTTTATATAAGGGACTTGAGCATCCATGGATTTTGGTATCCGTGTGGGGATCCTGGAACTAATCTCCTGTGGGTACCACGGGATGACTGTATTTAATTTATGGTTCACATGTCTACAAATAAATGTGCTGTATTATTCCAAGGTATTATTATACTTTTATTTCTTTGAATTGTACCTCTCCATTATACTACTATAAAGTATAGTATAATAAAATATTTGCAAGGGCCAGAAAATTTGGGGGAAATAGGAAACTTGAAGAAAACTTCCTGGAGAGTTGTTTTTTGTTTTTTCTTTTTTTAAATAGAAGAAAGTAAATGAGTTAATTGGAACTGTAGTCACAGGGAAAGGAAAGAAGATTTTGAATCTAGGTCTCCTTTTTCTTACCATCATGTCAGCAAATTCTGATTATAAAATTCCTCACGTAGGCCTGATAAGTAATTTCTGACAAAAATGACTGTGAAAGAGGCAAACTAGCTGACATCTGAAAAGCAGATACCAAACTCCCTAAACAATTCTCAGTTTCTTTCCACTTTCCAACTTCAATTTAGGGGGAAGCATTAACTATGCGAAAGAACACAGAAAGAAAAAAATATCTTAGGTAAAACATAAAGTTAGTAATGGAGTGAAGACTGTAATCCATGATCCCCTCTTCATTCAGACTCTTTGCTTTTTCTTTGTTTATTCATATATTTAGTGTAAAATATATCTTTGGTATTTGAGAGAAGCTATCAACTCTGAACCTGTGTTCCAAAGCAAGGACGATACTTTTTATCCATTGGAATATTAGATGGTATATAGACTGAGATCCAGTCTCAATTCATCCCTATTTCAGAATAAATCAATGATGTCACTTCATCTACTTTAGAAAAGCATCAAAAGTATCCTGGCTTCTTATAGTTTTGCATTGTTCCTGGTCATGGAGATAAAATCAGGGGTGGATTAAAAACTCTGTGGAGACTTGAAAGATGAGGGATGATTTGGTGTTGATCTGAGTTTCTTAATTTAATTTTATCTGGGCTGAAATAAAATCTTGTTTGGTTATGTAAAGAACTATTTGATAAACTTTCAATGGGAGAAAATATACATGACACTTAATGAATTTTAATTATAACACTGAGGATTTTAGAAATCAGGGAAACCTTAGCCATCATCTAGTTCTAATGCTAATTTTACATATGAGAAACTGACCATTTCTTAGGGAAAATACAGAGGCAATTTTTGCTTGGAATTGAAAGTTAGACTAGATGACTTCTGAGGTTACATTCAATAAATTTTTTGAAACTGAGGCCCAAAGAAGTTGAGGAAATCGCCCAAGGTCACCTAGTTGATTGTGGGAAGGAGAGCCTAGAGTTGAACCCAGGTTTCTGGATTCCTTGTCTACTTATGACTCTCTTCCTCCTTAAAGATATTTGAAACTCAACACAGTGAGTTTATAGTCCTGGCATAGTCCTAGCATACACATACTTACCTTTGGATTATCTTTTAATTCCCAGTGTGGTGAGTCACATAGTAAAATAACATTAGCATACTGAAATGCTGTATCAGGAACTAATTAAAAGGGAAAGAAAATCACTCAGATGAACTTCATGATTTCCTCTGAGTCTTTTGACAAACGTAACCTTGAATGCTGAACTGCTTTGAATGCACATTTTCTCATGACAGTACATTTGGTGGATAAAGCAGAGCTCCTCCTACATAAAGACTGCAGTTCTAAGGTCATATAAAATCCATTAAGTTAAGAAGCTGTTCAATGAGCAGATTTCAGTGATATTGCAGAAGAATTTGATTATAACTGGACACATTATTTACTTATAGTAAGTCTGGAACTTAAATTTGGGGGAGGGAGAGAGGGGATTAGAGGTAAATTGTTTTGAATAATTATTTGTTTCACTTTCTTCACCTCTTTTAAAATGGGTTCATAAATCTCTTTTGTGGCAAAAATTGTTTGACTTGACATAATATTAATTTGGGGAAATAATGTAATTTTTTGCATGAAGCTAATTAATAGGTGCTGGTTAATCAGTATAAATAACACTATGATTTTAATTTTTATTGTTGTTTTCTTATTAGCCTTTATTTTCTATACAAATCATACCTCTTATAAGCAAACCTGGTCCTTTAGAAATGGTAAGAATAGTTGCATTTTAGAGTTAAGAGGTTTTCTGAGATTGTTTTCTATGTGATTTTTTTTCTATAAGTGAGAATCTTACACTTTGCCATAACTTTTCTCTCTTAAGCTCAGAAATAACCATAGAGCTCCTCTAAAATGAATGATTTAATTTACCTTTATATGATATTTTGATTTAATTTATGGAACATGCATACCTGTATATATGGTGTTTTCATTTATTTGAATATTATGGTTACATATATAGTAGATTATTAAAATAAAAATGACAATTTTCACTGCTTTTGCTCTGAAATGAACTAACATTTTATACATTTGATGCTTGTTTTCCTTTGAAAGAATCCATAGTTAAGATTTAAATCTGACCATCACTTTTATACATTGCACTCATTTTGGATGCTTCCAGGTTAGCTTTCTTTCTTCAATATGTAAAAAGATATATAAAACCAGAACATGAATATAGGGCATTTATCAGCTGTTTTTGGTTAAAATTTTATTAATGTATAGAATTTTTAGAGCGTTCAAGACTTAACTGCATAGATTTATTATTATTAAGTAATAAACTAAGGACTAAGAGATCTGGGTTTTAGTTCTAGATCTTTTCCATATGGTCTTGTGACCTTAGGATGGACATCCTACCCGCTCTCCATCTTTATTTCTTCATCTGTAAAGTAAGCCAGATGTCCTGACTCTGCCTAATGTTGTGAAAGGCAGTAGAAATGTTAAAAATGATTATTTAAACAATAGGATTAAACAAAGGAGAGACAGAACAACTATTGGATTCTTCTTATTTTTTTTTAATGCTAAGATCTTACCTGTAAGTGAAAAGCTGCTTTCAGGATATTTTTTTGAAAATCGGAGAAATATCACCTGTATTTTTCTGCAACTTGGAGGAGTGGGGGTGGGGTAGGTTGCTGGTTCCTTTTGATGTATTTTTCAGAGTGTCTTCAAAGAATTAATAGGAGGTGACTCCTGGATATGGGAGAAGCTGAAGGCAGCTAATAACAATTGGGTTATTATGGCCACTATGCTGCAGACATTTTATGTGAACTATCGCAGGGCTCTCCAACCTCTGGGCCATGGACCAGTACCGGTCTGCGGCCTGTTAGGAACCGGGCCGCACAGCAGGAGGTGAGCAGTGGGTGAGTGAGCAAAGCTTCATCTGTATTTACAGCTGCTCCCCATAGCTTGCGTTACTGCCTGAGCTCCGCCTCCTATCAGCATTATGGTGAGTTGTATAATTATTTCATTATATATTACAATGTAATAATAATAGAAATAAAGTGCACAATAAATGTAATGCACTTGAATCATCCCCAAAACATCCCCCCCTCCCGCCACCCCCCCACCCAGTCCATGGAAAAATTGTCTTCCAGGAAACCGGTCCCTGGTGCCAAAAAGGTTAGGGACCACTGCACTATCCCATTTAATTATTTCCTAAGCCCCAAGTATTACTGCCTTCATTTTATAGATAAGAAAATTTAAGTGCAGAGAGCTGAAGTGTCTTCTTTAGATCTGTGTGGCTGCAGTGTCTGGGCTCTTTCCATTATTCCATGCTGCTCCAAGAGTCTCATGGGGCAGTACTAAGAAGATTTGGAATTATGTCTTCCATTCTCTCTGTGGGATCAAGACTTATACTGGGGAGATGGATAACGTGGAGTCACAGAGTAGGTAGGCAGGTGCCTACATGATATGATTTGGGAAGCAGTTGACAGGCCTGCCCACAAGTATCATCTTCATTGGCTTGTCACATTCACTTTTCCTGAGATTTTACCACTAAAATGATTACTTTGCTTGTTTTGTTTTTCTTTGCCAGTGGGGAGGTTGTGAGGATTTTCAAATGCACATACTCCTAGGAGAGTTCATGTATTTAGCAGACAGTGTGAAATTGGAGAGAGAGCTCAGATTTGGGAGCCAGGAAGACCTGGAACTGAATTCTGATGCCACCAAGTCCTAGCTTTTTAACTTGCATGTGATAACTAATCTCTCAGAGCTTCACTTTCTTCTTGAATAAAACAGAGATAATAATGTATATGCATAGGCCCTTATTATAATAATTATAATATATTAAATATCTGGTATGGGTAGTTGTGGTAGAGTGGGAAGAGCACTGGAATGGAAGTCAGGAGACTTGGTGTCCTGCCATATGCTTTCATTCATTTGCACAACATCAGTGACTAATACTATTTTTAAGCTGTGTAAATAACAAACCTGTACTTATCAAAGAAAGGCATGGAGAAGAAAGTATATCTTCCCTAGAACAGTGATAAATTCCATTTATGCAGATTTTCTTAAAATAGCCAGATGATCCTTCAATACATGATTTCAAAACACAGATGGATGTTGTAATTCAGTTTTCTCTGTTTCAAAGAACATGAATACACAGGGATTATAAATATTCAAAACATTAATGCAATTTATCATCATTTTCCTTTCCTCTATTTCCAGTACCAAATGGTAGCATAAATTCCCAAGCAGTGTCCTAAACCAGAAACAGGAATCATCCTAGATTCCTTTCTGTCATTTATCTTCAACCATCATTTCATACCCACACGCGTCACAGATCTCCTTCTCTAAATACCCATTTTCAGATGGAAGATCATGATTTTGGTGTTTGATATTTTGCATTTGAGGTGTGTTTGAGGCTTCTAAGTGAAAAATTTGAGAGAACAATTAGATATACAGGTCTGGAGCTCAGAACAGTAGCTTGAGTGAGAGATATATGTTTGAAAGTCATTGGCATATAGATAGTAATGGAAGCTGTGGGAGTGGATAAAATTACATAGGGAGAACATAGAGTCAAAAGAGATGAGGGCTTCAAAGAACTTCATTTAATATTAGGATAAGTAAAGGGTGAACCTAAAAATGAAATGAAAAGTGTGGCCAGAGAGGTAGAAGGAAAACTGGGAAGCTGGTGTGAGAAAAACCAAGGGAACAGTGTTTCAAGAAGGATGGTGGTAAACAGGTGAATGCCACTTTAAGATTGGGATAAAAAATATTGATTGGATTCAGTAACATGGAGGCCATTAGTTATTTTAGTGGGACATGTTTCAGGAGAGTCATGGATTGGTGGTGGGATGAAGGAAGAAGCTAGAAGGGAATGGAGTGGTGAAGAGTGAGTGGGAGGTGTGAAAATAGAAAGTATAGACAACTCTTCCTAGAAATTTGGCTGTGAAGAATATGGGAGTATTGGGGCAGTAGCTGGAGACAAATATACGGACAAGATAGTTTTTTTTTAAGTTTGGGGAGAAATGAGCATATTTAAATGCTAATAGATATATCCACCTGATATTTACGTATGTATGTATACATACATCTCATGTATGTTGAAAATATATGAGAAGAAAAAATTAAATGGTAAGATTTCTGATAATTGATCAGGGTTGGAGTCCAAAACACACATGAGGAGTTTTACCTTAATAGGAAATATACTCCTTTATTATAGCAGTAGGGAAGGAAGAGAGGGTGTGGGGAAAATGTGGAATCAAGAAGATGAGGGAATTTCCATCTGATAGCTTCAATTTTGTTTTTATTTATTTTTTAATTTTTAGTATAGTTGATTTACAATGTTGTGTTAGTTTCTGCTGTACAGCAAAGTGAATAAGTTATACATATATCCACTCTTTTTTAGATTCTTTTCCCATATAGGTCATTACAGAGTATTGAGAAGAGTTCCCTGTGCTATACAGTAGGTCCTTATTCAATTTTGTTTTTAAAGAGACAAAGTCATGTGCTGAGATTGGGGAGAGGAGATGAGAGGATTGGAGATACTGGAAGAAGTTTGTAATTATTGTCAAGAATGGAATAAAGCTGAACAGAGACATGTAATGTTTCTGAGTAGTACTGTGGGTTCATGTGAATTTGAATATTATAACTTTATCATGGAACTAATCTATTGTGGGACTTATTCCTTCAGCACCTACCTTCTCCGGTATAGGCACAGAGAAAACCTGAAAGTTGGATTCATTCAAGCTTGGGATTTTGTTAGGAAGTTATGATAAACAGGCAGAGGGACAGCTTTAGTTTGGGGGTATGGAAACTAATCTAGATTGAATAAAAAAGGGAAGAAAGCAAAGTCTGCCAGATGGATTTGGAAAAAACAGTCAAGTCTTTGCAAAGCTGAAAAATGATCACAGTGGCAGTACTTAAAACGTAAGCTAGAATGAAAGGAGATTATGGGAAAATCACTTAACTTCTCTGGCTTGTTTTCTCATCTGTATATAAGCCATGGTGATAGACAGTGGAAGCCAAGTATGTTTTGTGTCTGTATAAATTTATGCATGTATCTCATTGTCTTTTGATAGTAAGTATCAAGAGAATCAGGAGGACCTAGGAATTTCTGAAGAGCATCCTGCCCACTTCTAAGGAATGAAGTAGGGTTGGAGGATAGGAAGTAGAATGAAACAGGGTTAGAGGGTAGGAGGTATGAGTCATTCTAACTTTCCCACTGATGCTCAGTCAAAGGAAGACAAAGCCATGCTTCTATAGGTGTGATTCTACTACAAGTAGTTCTCTTTTCTCTAGGTATGTTTGACTTTGCTCATCCAGCAGTGATTACTCTCTAACTATGGAATCAGCCATCTCCTTTATCTAGCACTTTTGCAGGAAGAACAGTGTACATTATTGGTGGAATTAGTACTGATTCATTGAGAGGAAACTTGAACTCCAGGGCATTTTGATAATAACCAAAGCATGTAGATGAACTATCAACATCTGGAAAAGGTGAAGCAGCATAGGATTAAAATTATGTGAGTGCACCATCAGAACATCATTCAGAAAACTGTGGCAGCAGCTCACGGTGGTGGGAAAAGTGCTGTGGTACCTGAGAGCAGCTCATATTAGCAGAATCTCCAGGTGTCCAGAGAGAGTTCTCTAGCACTTATTTAGCACAGTAAGGACTTTGAAGGCCTCAAAGGGGATGTTGGAGTTTTATCACATTGTGTTTTGTCACTGTGAAAAGTTTCTACTTCAGCATTTGTGGTTATAATATTTGCAAGTGGGGTGGTTCAGTATGATTTTTCCCCCCCAGGTATCTGGTTGGAGATTTTAGCCAAGGAAGTGCTACACAGCTTAAATGTAGCTGACTCAAAGCCTACGTAGAAAATGAGGGGTTGGACTGTATAAGCGCATACTTTGATTACCTGGAAATTTGGGCTTAAAAGATTATGAACTTTTAAAGGATTTTTAGGGAATTCCCTGGGGGTCCAGTGGTTAGGACGCAGCACTTCCATTGCCGTGGGCCTGGGTTCAATCCCTGGTCGGGGAACTAAGATCCTGCAAGCCACGTGGTGCAGCCAAAGAAAAGGACTTTTATACACAGTGCTAAATATGCCTCTATTTAGGTTACAGGCTCTTCTTAAATAAGAAAGTGGTTTATTTTGCTCTCACATAACTATCTGGAGGTAGCTAATCCAGGGCTGCATGAAGCTTTACTTCATGAGGTCAAGGCCCTGGGCTATTCCAAACTTGTTCTGCCATGCCTAGGGTGTTTTCCTCATCTGCTTAATCAAAGATGGCTCACTACCAGGACCACATTCTAAGAAGCAGAGTGGAGAAAGGGGGAAAGGGAAAGGGGAGAAATGGTCTGTTTTCTTTAAAGGCATGACAGAGATTGGAGATAACACTTCTGTTTATACCTCTTAGGCAAGAACTTAATGTTGTCATGGTAGCCTTCATTTTGTATGCCCATGTGCCCAGCTAAAACATGGGGGTTTCATTACACTGAAGGAGAGGAGAATGAATATTAGGGGACAAGTAGTAATCTCAGCCACACTGCCTCCAAAAAAGATTCTATCAATTCACATTTCTGCCAGTAGCCCAAGGAAAGCTCACACACTATAGTAACCATTTTGTTTATTAATTTTGCTTATATTATAAATTATTTAACTGTAAGTTTATATAATTTAATTTTTAAAGACTTAATTTTTTTAGAGCATTTTTAGGTTCACAGCAAAACTAAGAGGAAGGTACAGAGATTTTCCATATACCTCCTGCCCCCACACATGTATAGCCTCTCCCATTATCAGCATCCCGCACCAGAGTGGTACGTTTGTTACAAGTGATGAGCCTACATTGACACATCATAATCACCCAAAGTCCACAGTTTACATTAGGGTTCATTCTTAGTGTTGTATAGTCTATGGGTTTGGGCAAATGTATAATGACATGTATCCATGATTATAATATCATACAGAGTATTTTCACTGCCCTAAAATTCCTCTGTGTTCTGCCTAGTCATCCCTCCCCCTCACTTCAACCCCTGGAAACCACTGAAGTTTTTGCTGTCTCCATAGTTTTGCCTTTTCCAGAATGTCATGTAGTTGGAATCATCACTTATATTGCCTTTTCAGATTGGCTTCTTTTACTTAGTAATAAGAACTCAAGGCTCCTCCAAGCCTTTTCATGGCTTGATTTCTTTTTAGTAGAGTAATATACCATTGTCTGGATGTACCACAGTTTATTTATCCATTCACCTACTGAGGGACATCTTGATTGCTTCCAAGTTTTTGCAATTATGAATAAAGCTGCGGTAAATATTTGTGTGCAGGTTTTTGTGTGCACATAAATTTTAAACTCCTTTGGGTAAATAACCAAGGAGCATGATTGCTGGATCATATGGTAAGAGTATGTTTAGTTTTGTAAGAAATCACCAAACTATCTTCCAAAGTGGCTGTACCATTTTGCATTCCTACCAGCAAAGAATGAGAGTGCCTGTTGCTCAGCATCCTTGCCATCATTTGTTGTTGTTGTCAGTGTCCTGGATTTTGGCCATTCTGACAAGTGTGTAGTGAGTTACTGTGGGGTTTTGTTGTTGTTGTTTTTTGGTTTCTGGTTTCTTTGGCTCTCCTTCCATAAACTTGATGGCAGGGAACTCTGTGTCTTGCTTGCTTTCGTATCTGCAGCCTTGAGTGCAAAATGGATGCTCAGGAAGTGTCTGTGAAATGAAGATCTGGATAGATGCCTATGATCGTATCAGCACCAATACAGCAATCAAAGGCACAGGCCATAAAAATAGAAAATAGGGGCTTGATGAGAAGCCCCTAAAGTCATTTAAGAAACATTGTCTAACCCAACCTGAAAAGCAGCTATCAAAAAAAGTGAGAAAGTAGGTGAGTAGGCAGACCTACCACTTAAAATTATTAGTGGATTCAGAGCTTTTAAGCAGATGATTATAAAGAACCAGTTCTCTTAAAGCAGGAAATTCATTTTTATGAAGGGCAATCAGTCCAGTGAAAAACAATAAAGCTCTGCTGACATACAAGTAAAAAATAACCTTTTTATCATAAGTACTTTAAAAAAGTAAACTCACAAAGTTACAAAACTGGTCTAATCTTCAAGTAATGCATGGAAAATATTCTGAAGCCAAACAACTAATGAAAATGTATTGAGAGACTTCCACTGGTGGTACAGTGGTTAAGAATCCCCCTGCCAATGCAGGGGACATGGGTTCAAGCCCTGGTCCGGGAAAATCCCACATGCTGCGGAGCAACTAAGCCCATGCGCCACAACTACTAAGGCTGCGCTGTAGAGCCTGCGAGCCACAACTACTGAAGCCCACACACCTAGAGCCTGTGCTCCGCAACAAGAGAAGCCACCACAATGAGAAGCCCGCGCACTGCAACAAAGAGTAGCCCCCGCTTGCCGCAACTAGAGAAAGCCTGCGTGCAGCAACGAAGGCCCAATGCAGGCAAAAATAGATAAAATAAATAAATAGATTTATTAAAAAAAAAAAAAGAAGAAAAGAAAAGAAAATGTATTGAGAAGAGAGAATGCTCCAGTATATTTAAAATAAGGACAGCCAGGAATCCAAAAATATATTTATTTCCACTTAATGGAAAAGAGAAAACATCAGTAAGAAAGAGGAAAAGAGGGAGAAAATGGAAAAAGAAAAATATAAGGAAAGAAGATGAGGGGCGTGTGGGAGAAGAAGCAAACAGCAAGAGCCTGAATGATGAAATAGGATCATCCATGCTCTGAATCTCAAATAGGCTGCCAATCTAAGCCAGAATACAAATCCTCTTGCCTAGAGATATGCACTTATTGGAGCCCTTTGGGAGTATGGACAGTTATATTATTTGATCCCTCAGTTTCAGAGTTTTCAAAATACAATAAAGGCTTTATGTTCCCTAGAACAAGAATTTCTGATATCCCTTGATTCTGATTTTCAATCATGTTTCTAGACCAATAGCCAAGTTTTTAAAGTGCCCTATAAAAATATAGTTAAAGTTGTTTCTGATTACTTTTGTTGCAGGAGACAAATTTAGAAGAAAAACAATGAAATCTCAGATTGCACATAGATGGAAAGTAAAGATGTTCTACAGTCTGGAGAAATTGCAGGCTTTTAAAAATATTTCATTGGAAATGTGACAAGATGGAGATACCTTTGTAAAACAATTTGAGCAGATGGAAAGTATTTGTTAATCACTGGTGAAACTAAACTTTGATAGTTTCTAATTGTCTCAGAAAAATGTTCTACCTTGGTATGGTACCCTTTGATAAGTACAATCCTAAAATACTCTGGCCTGCATCCCTCAAATAAGAACACTCACTGTTACTAAACAGGTACGACAAAAATCTAAGTAACAACAGGATCAAACCTTTATGTGAGATGTTCTCCATTCCTGTTTTCAAGAGGGAAGAAATGAGTGACTTCCTTCTAGCAAGAGAACCTTATGTCCCTTCATTGCAAACTACTCAAGAGAGTTATCCATACTCATTGTCTCCCTCCCATTCTTTCCTGAACCCACTTTAATCTGAGTTTTGCTCCAGACATTCCACTTATTTCCTTATCAATGTCACCAACTATCTTCAGTTTGCCAAATTTGTTAGACCATTCTCAGGCCTTATCTTACTTGGCCCATTGGTAGCTTTTGACATTGTCTATCACTTTATCCTTGAAACATTTTCCATACTTGGTTTCTGGGACACCACAAACTCTGGGTTTTCTTCTCACCTCCTTGGCCTCTCCTTAGTGTCCTTTGTTGATACCTCCTCATTTCTTTGGCCTCTATATATTGGAGGGTCCCAGATCTCAGTCCTTGGTCCTCTTCTCTTTATCTTATCTGCACTATATCCTAGGTGACTTTAATTAATCCTATGGCTTTAAATACTACCTATATACTGATGACTCTCAAAAATATATCCATAGCTCTGGTCTTTCCCCTAATCTCCAGAGTCAACTATCCAACTGCCTACTCATCTTCTCCTCTTGGATGTTAGTTAGGCAGCACAAACTGAAACATATAAAACTGAACTCTTGTCCATCATTCCCAAGCCCCATAAACAATTATTCAGTTGCCCATGACAAAAATACAGGCATCATCCTCTGGTACTCCACACTCGATCCATCAGTAAAATCCTATCAGCATCTCCACTGCTGTCAAGTTGGTCCAACTTACCATCAACTCTAGCCTGGATTATTGCTTCTATCCTTCCCTTCCATACAGAGTAGCCTTTTCAAATGTAAGTTACATCATGTTATTCTACTCACAACTGTCCAATTCCTTCTCATTTTACTAAAAATAAATAGGAAATCCAGTACCATTGCCCACAGTCGGCCTATCTTTGTGAGATCATCTAACCTTTTCTGTTTCTTATCCTACCGTTGTTGCTATTCCTAGAACTGTTAAGCTGATTCCCTCCCCAGGGCTTTTGAATGTGCTATTCCTTCTACCTGCAAGTTTCTTTCCCTGTATCTTCATCTGGTTCATTCCCTCACTTCATTGAGGTCCTTAATGTTACTTTTTCAGAGAGGCATTCCCTGACCACCCTATCTAAAATGAACTCTCATTACTCTCTTTCATATTATCCTGCTTTATTTCTTTTTGTGAAACTTATAATTATCTGATATTGTCCGTCTGTCTGTCTGTCTGTTTATTGTCTGTCTCCCACTCCAGAAAGTTAGTTCCAAGAAAGCAGGTTCTTTGTTTTGTCCACTGCTGTACCTCCAGTGGCTGGAACAGTGCCTGGCATGTAGTAGGCTTCCAGAAATAATCGTTGAATAATGAATACATGATAGAAATATTTATGTGTTTTTGTTAACATTCTTTTCCATAACTGATGGCAGTATATGTTACACAATACCATATTTTCATGTATTTACAGTTTATATCTTATGTACATGCAAGAGCATACTGGTAGAATAACATTGAAACAATGTAAAATCTGCTATTGTACATTTTCTATTCTGTTTTTACTTAGTATGGAGAGGGTGGGTCACACTCTATTACTGACTTCTAAAGTTGTTATTCTAAAGTCATTACTTGAAGTGAATGTTTTGGGTACACAGTGTTTGCTTGCTAATAATTATTTGGGAGCATCTGGGAGTGAGGAGGAGTGTGTTGAACAAACAAAAGAGATTGTTTTGCTAGTTCCAGAGCAGTGGTGCCTTTCAAGAAACTGCATTGCTCTTCAGCTGTGACTTCATTTGAATAGAACTTAAGGTGTATTTAATAATAAGAATCTGACCTATTTTAAGAAAGCGATGACCTGGTAGATTTTTTAAAAACGGTTGTAAAAGCCTGTTGTTGGTTTATTTGGATGGAATTATAAGCTAAAAAGCTCTGATCTGCCCAGTTTAGGGACAGATTCTGAAATGTGTAAACTGCTTCATGAAGGAACACTATAAACCTGTCAGTTGCTGTGGTAGCTCAAAACGGAATTCTGTAGCTTTGACAGTGCTTCAGGAAACTTGTCGGCTGGATGAACTCAGGATGTCATACAGGAAACCATCTACAAAAAGGATTTGGGAATAAAATGACTACTTATGTTTTACAGGATTTATTGAACATATTTCATAAATATCAAGAAACAATATTAGTATGTAATGTTGGCAGGGACACAAATATAATCATGTTATATATAACTGGATGTTAAAGTGGTATTTGTTAAAAAGAGATCTACCTGTACTTCATTCGTCTGCAGTGATTTTCATCATTCAGCACGTGCCTAACTTCTTTGTGTATTTTTGTGGGAAATGACAGTTGACTAGGGGCAAGCATGATGAATCTGTCTGATTCAAAGTCCTTTTATGTTTGAAAGTACACAAAGTCATCTTCAGCATTCTTTATAAACTACTCCACTGCGTGAAATATTACGTGCTAGTTATTATCTAAATTAGATTTGACTCACCAACAGTTCATAGACTGATTGTACTATTAT